TGTATTTTCGGAAAAATTATTATATGTCCTGAAAATTTTTTGTACATCTGGAAACATTTTGGTAACCACCCCCCCCCTCTATCTAACCTCACACACCCCCTGAGACGAAGTGCTAGCAACGGCACTGAGTATACATCTTTTGAAAACAGGCGAGGGGTTATTGCATGCATGTATTTCTAGTATATACATACTAATTATATGGTCCGATAGTCATAGTCATACGTAGTCGTATAGTCATATAGTCATATAGAGTTATAATAATTATGTACTTATATAGTTACGCATATAGTCACATTCATAGTTATAGTCATGAAGGAACCCCAACCAAATTTAAATTTAATGTCACGATAATAGATAATATAAATAATAGATGTCTGTGTTTTTATGTGCAAGTTTATTCAATTCTCTACCATCCGAATTAAACAATAATGAGAATCACTCAATTAATTCCTATAAAAAGAACCTCAAAACCCATTTTCTTCAATTAAATTATGAAGTGGATCACGTTAATAAGTTCCGCTGTATCGAATGTAAGCATAGTACTTATTTTCAAGGTCACTGTCGACAAGATTTTTTATATTAGGCATCGAGGGCAATGGGGGCAAAAAATATTAAGTAATCAATGTAATCCCTCATTAAAAAAATTAATAATAATATGTACAATATGTAATCCGACGCGGTTTCGCTATATACGTGAGTTATATGCGCGATTCACACGGTGAGACACGCGCGAATCGCGCGCGGCGGCGGCTCCCTTAAGGACAATATGGGGAATGTAGGTCATTTATTAATGTGGGTGGAGAATTGAGCGAAAGGTGTAATATTTAAAAAATATATATGCATGTTTTGTGCAACATAAACGAAAGATAAATTGCGGGGCAATCCACCGTATTCGATAATAACAGAATCTATCTATCCGCCATACTGACACGAATTTCCCTAGCCATTGAAATTTTTCCCAATAAAAATACATGCATGCAGAACCCCTCGTCTCGGTAGTCAAACCACTATATTTTGCATGAAGTATCATCAGTAGCAGTAGTTGTCATAGTAACACAATCGTTTTTATATTTTTATATTATATATTAACCCACCCTGATAAGGAGACTAATTTGCTGTTCTTTTGCTGCTTCTTACAAACCTGATTTGGAATGAAAGTCATGGAAACCCGAGCTGTTATATCCCACTTGTATTATAATTTATAATAAGGTCAATAAAAATGTTTTTCGATTTTGTGAATGCTTGTACCTACCTTCTTGATTGCTGCCACATTCTTTGAAACACCCCGTCTCACGTGAAAGTTCCAAATTTCTCATAGCTGTATTTAATCTCAAACAAATGAACAATGATTTGTCGGTTTCATTTGATAGTGGTTCATTTTCTGTTTCACTTGATAGTGGTTCACGAAATACTACATCTTCTTCATCCGAATCATTTTTGTCTATTTCGCAGACGCCATAAGCGAACGCCTGTTTTTTGTTTTCGGAATCTAGATAACATATTAAAGCTCCAGAGTCACCAGCATGCAAAAATTTTCCTGAATCACTTTTCACAGCGATTGCATCTCTGAACAAAAGTTCACCTTCATGATTGTAAGAAAAATTAATATTATCGATATATCCATCCGTTAGGTTTGACGAATAACCGAGTTTCTGCACTCTCACAGGAACTATTCCTCGTTTGCGAATAACTCTTTTTTTTAGTTCCTGCCATATTCTCGCCCAGACGGGAGAATCTATCTCCGCCACTGTGCAATCAACTTTAATATTTTGAGCAACTTCTATAGACATAATGTCAGAAACTTCGTCAAAGGAACCCTTGGAAAACGTACCAAGATCACTACGTTTGGCAGAGTTGCCAGTGTTTTCATTTTCATCAGTATTGTCAATTTCGTTCTTGCGATAGCCATATGTTAGTGTTTTCTTGGCATATTCTTTATGCCATGCAATTGATCGCGATTTGCGAATGTCCAAAACATCTTGCTGATTGAATGCTCGGTCAAACCGTTGTTTATCAGTGATAACACCCACATGAAAACAGGTAAGTGCGTAGTGTTTATCATCCTTACAGCAGAACATGGTTAATGTTCCTGATGCCCGACAAGTGCTTGATTCTTCTTCCTCAGTATCATTTGATGCCTGTAAAGGATTTGGTACATTTTCTTTAACTGCGATACCTCCCCCAGGTGCTGGTTTCAATAGGAACTTAAACTTCACAGGTTTCTTGGGTTCCGGAAGAAGTTCAAAGTAGTCACTTGGTTCACAATCAAATGCAGCTTTAATGTCATCCAATATCTCAGATTCCTTCTTCCCTTTTTCAACAGTTACATAAAAATGAGAACGTGCAATTTTTTTGTTCGGGCCAGTAATCCCATATGCACCGTGCAACCATGGAAACCTATTGAAAAAATGACATGTTAACGTCTACAATTTATTGGAGATTGGAACAAATTGTTCTGTTATATCCATATGTGATCTGCTCAAATATCCTATCCCCAACCTTAACTTAGTGTGGGGATATTCCCGCACGTAACGTATAGTTATAACTTGCTGTTCTTCAATGTTTGTAAATTAAAGTTTATTTCTTCACGTTTTGTGAATGCAATTTTATTGTATTTCCATCCATTTTAATTTCATTTCGACCTTCCGACGAAAGATTTTTCAAAAGTTATGTTTGACACAAATTTCCTACAATCAATACTATTTGTAGTATATGCATGCATGCACCTTTTAAATTTTTCATGTACTTCTTCTCTAATGCAGTATTCGTCGTCAAGAAATGTTTCTTCCAGAAAAGTATCTTCATCTTCTTCTGCAGAATCTTCTCCAAAATCTTCTTCTTCTTTTTCCTCGACTATTTTGGTAGAAAAATGGACACATTCGTTTATATCAATCTAAATATAATTTTCCACAATACACCTTTTTTAATAATCGCATCGCAAAAAATACTTTACGCCAGCGAACTCCTTTTACTAACTTTTCCTTTCGGGATTGGAGTATATATAAGAAGACATGACAAGCGTTGAAAGTACTAGCGGTGAGAGAGGAGAGAAAGAAAAAGTGATTGTGAATGGGGAAGAAAGATGAGGATGAGTTTCACGCCAGGGAGACCCAATCTGACGTTTGTCATTGTTGCACGCGAAATCAACGGCAATTACCAAAGGACTTATTCCCTAATGAACAAAATTTTGATCTCAAGTCTAGACAAAAATCTCATCACAGCTTGAAAGAGCATCACAAAATTAGTAATATTCCAAAGTTTCGTTGCGAAATGTTGTAAAATGCGGATCAGTAATATAGCCCTGCGAAGTTTGCCGTTTTTCAGTCATTTTGTATTACACACGGGAAATTGATACCGCTTTCTGAAAAAAGATATCGCTTTCCCTTACGTAGTACAAAATGAATGAAAAACGGCAAACTTCGCAGGGCTATATTATCCGCATTTTACAACATTTTGCAACGAAACTTCGGAATATTACTAATTTTGTGATGCTCTTTCAAGCTGTGATAAAATTTTTGTC